GGCTTAGTTTTTCGGATCTTTGCTGTGGAGGGACGGCATGGTGCTTCTGCCTAGAGCGCCATTTTGCTGGAACTCCTAAATTGTACTTTTGATGAATTTCTGAAGACTAAGTGTTGACTCTGGAGCCCTGATGGTACAGTGGTTAAGAGCTAGGCTGCTAACAAAAGGCCTACAGTTCAAATCGACCAGCTGTTCCTTAGAAGCCCTATGGGGGAATTTCTGCATTGTCCGATAGGATAGCTATGAATTGGAATCGACTCGATGACCATAGGTTTGAGTGTTGACTCCAAGTGTGAATGAGAAGCTCCTGGGGAGTGCAGTGATAGAGGCACTCCCATCTTTTTGTATATTTTATCCAGGAATTTCATCAGGTTCTCTTCGGAAGGATCTGAAAAAGCTGCCCATTAGTCCTAGCATGGACTGCCAGAAGAATGAACAAGTCTGTCTTGGAAGAAGTACCACCAGAGTGCTTCTTGGAAGTGAGGATGGTCAAACTTTGTCTCACATTCTTTTGACATGTTATCAGGAGGGACTAATTCCTGGAGAAGGACATCATGGTTGGTAAGGCAGAGAGTGACTGAAAAAGAGGAAGACCCTTGATGAGATGGACTGACACAATGGCTGCAACAATGGGTTCAAATATAGCAATGATTGTGAGGATGGCACAGGGCCAGGCAGTGTTTCACTCTGTTGTACACAGGGTTGCTATGGGTGGAAACCAACTGGAGGGCACCTAACAACAGTCCTAGCAGGCGGAGGGGAGGAGTAGTCAATGTAAAACCCTCCTTGCCCCTTTTCCATAACAAAAGCCTCATCTCTAGTTGGAAGGACTTCACCAGATGGCAATTTTGAAATATAGTCTCAGCTAGGGGAGGGAAACTTTGTCCCACTCCAGCCTTCATGACTCAATTAAGAAAAAAAAATAACTAAAAGTCATAGTCAACAATAGAGATGAGTTTACGAAAATAGGTTGGGGATGATGTAGCTATGGAAGGGACTAGGGCTTAAGGGGTGGGGGAAAGCTCTACACCTGGAGGAGAGACAGAAACACTTTGGAAGACCACACCCCTGAGACATAGGCACATTAAAAGACTGAGAACTAGTTCAAAGACTAGAGAACATCCCTTCCACACATGCTATCACCACACAAACAAGTCTCCAGTAACAGTGGATTACAGCTGAAACAAGAAACCCTGGTGGTGCAGCAGTTAAAGCTCTCAAAAGGGCGGAGGTTCAAACTCACCAACCACTCTGTGGGATAAAGATGTGACAGCTGGCTTCCGTAAAGATTACAGTCTTGGAAACCCTATAGGGTAGTTCTATCTGTTGTATAAGGCTGCTATGAGTCGAAATCAATTTGACAGCTGAAAAAGCTAGCTGCAAGACACATATTCTCTCTGAGGAACATCGTGAAAGGTACCCCAAAGCCATGAGGGGAGGAAAAATTCCCACTATAGGAATTCGAAGCTCCTAGTGCCTAGCTACAAGAAACGTTAAATACAGCCCAACTTCTGAAAAGATTAACATATATCCTCACATTAAAAGCCTGTGTACCTCAGTGTCCATTACTCTATACAACAAAAAAGCATAGGATGTGCAAAAAGGCAAGAAAAAACACAATCTGGAGAGACAAAGCAAACATTAGAATCAGGCTCAGATATTGCGCAGCTGTTGGAATTATCAGACAAAAATTTAAAATAACTATTATTAATATGCTAAAGGCTCTAAAGGAAAATATAGACAATGCAAAACAGAGAGAGGTAATGTCAACAGAGAGATGGAAACTGTAAGAATCAAGTATAAGAATCAAAAGGAAATGCTAGGGAAAAAAAGGGACAGAAAAAGAATGAAGAAAAAAGAAATGGAAAATAACAAGTTTATCTTTATTTTCAAGAAAGACATAGTGATTACTTTGAGAGTAAAGGAGCACAGTTTCTAATTTGTACTCAAATAGTTCAGGAAAAAGTATGGAGAGAGAGAGAGGGCAAAAAGAGAATGGTATAGCAAATGGAGTAAAATGTAAAAAAAAAAATTGGTAATTCTGGGTAGAGGGTATACTGGAATTTCTTATACTATTCATGAAACTGGAATATTTTTACAGAATTTTAAATTTTATTTCCAAAAATAAAATATTATAATAAAAGAGTATGTTTCAGTAACATTCTAGTTCTAATAATTAAATAAAAATAATTAACTCTCACATAATGCAGACTGTGTCAGTCACCATTCTAAGCGCTTTTCATATAGTATCTAAATTCATCACTGAAACCAACTTAATGATGTTAATAGTATAAATATCATTTATACTTTACATATGAGAAAACTGATGTCCTTGCCCCAAATCACACAAATAGATCAAAAGTGGAATTAGGATTTCAAAGCAAGAAGTCTGACTATGGAGTAAATACTCATAAACAATGTGGTCTATTTCCTGGGTAGTAAAAAAAAAAAAAAAGTTTTTATTTCACCACTATAAAGATGACTATCCTTTGAAAAACTAGAGGGGTAGCATACAAAATAAAAACGATCAGTCCTTTTAACTGACGCATTAATTATAGTACCTACACAGTGTCACTATGAGTCAGAATCAACTCAACGGCAGTGGGTTTTTTTTTTTTTTTTGACATGTGAAATGAATACCTTGTGGCAAAGTACAAAGTATAATTAGGATACATGTGAGAAAGAGAAGAATAGACATTCTGTCTCTATGACATTTATTATTTGATTAATTATGAAATTATGGTCACATAATATTGTGATTACATACAAACTTAATTGTCTTGTGACACTTTCAAATTTAAGGCAGTAAATAGAGGTTTTCAAATAAATTTCTTAAAACATACTTAGGTTTACAAGCTTTGTATCCTCTAGAACTTGAACCACAATTGCCACTTTGATCATTCCTAGAATTAATTTCAGCAAAACAGTCTTTCGAACCAAAACCTGTACCTGAAAAAAAAAACGAGAACTTAGTTATATTGAACTCAGTATTAATTTAAAACAATACATTTTAAGATTCTGAAATAATTTAAAATTTACTGCACAAAATATGATCAAATATAAAATTGAAATAAAAGAGAGTAAGATCACACAAACTCACTGAAATCCTTATAAAAAAATTGAAAGTGCTCTTGTCTACTATACAAACACAAATCCGAGAATTAATCACTGTATGCACTTTACCTTCTACATTCCAGTAAGTGTATAAATACAAATTTACAAGCATATTAGAGAGACTTTTTTATTTATAAATATTCAGCTTATTGGTCAATAATCTGTTTTTGCATAAATGTCTTTCCAAGTCAAACCACTAAATTGATATGCTGTTATTTTTTCACCAAATTAATTCTGACTGAAAACCTTGGAGCCACTCATAATTTTTTTCTCACACTCAGTATCAAATCCATATACAAGATCTAACATACCTGAAGAACAGTTTATTTCTCATCATCTCCACTAGCTCCCTTATAGTTGAAAGACAAAGCCAAAAAGAATGTGTAGGAATATTTAACCACTGCATTGTGGAGTTGGGGAAAAATAACACACCATAAGAAAAGCCCCAGTGGACACACCTTGATCTTAGCTGAAAACTCCTGAGGCAGCAGTGATCTGAAAATTAGGAGTTGATTTTGTCCCCCCAGAGGCCATCTGCAAAGCTGGTTATACGTAAGAGGTCAAAATTCTTGTCCTGGCCAGAGCAGTGGACAATTGCTGGTGGACCACAGAAACAGGCAAATTTTGAGGATCTTTCATGATAGAGTGACAAAATTAGAGAATTAACATGCCTCAAACACATTGTTGGTTTGGCCTTCAAGACTTTTGCCTGATTCCAAGTATGTACAGGGCAGGATATTAAAATATGAGACAAGGTCCACAAAGCAGAGGAGATTTTTCCAAAACCTCTGGGTTTGGTTACATATCACCAGTGAAAGAGGCATCAGTGAACATACCAAGCTCTCAGTCAAAAATCCCAAACATCTAGGCCCTAGACACAAGGGCAAATTAGATGTAGACTGTTGGTGTTGTTCGTAGTTGCTGTCGAGTCAGTTCTGACTCATGGAGCCCTTATATATAAGAGAATGAAAAGCTGCCTGGTCCTGTAGCATCTCCATCATCTTTGATATGTTTGAGCCCATTATTCAGGCTATTGTGTCAATCCATCTCATTGAGGGTTCTCCTTTTCGATGACGCTCTACTTGGCCGAATATTATGTCCTTTTCTAGCAACGGGACTTCCCTGATGACATGTCCAAAGTAATCAAGATGAAGTTTTGCCATCCTCAGTTCTAAGGAGCATTCTGGTTGTGTTTCTTCTAATTACAGATTTGCTCATTCTCTGGAAGTCCAGAGTATATTCAGTATTCCTTGGCAACACCACAACTCAAATTCATCAATTCTTCTTCTGTCTTCTTTTTTATTTTGCATGCATATGAGAAGACTGAAAAGACTACAGCTGGAGTCAGGCGCACCTTAGTCATCAAAGTGACATCTTTGCTTTTCATGACTTTAAAGAGGTCTTTTGCAACAAATTTGCCCAATGCAAAATGTCATTTGATTTCTTGATTGCTGTTTCCATTGATGTTAATTGTTGATCCAATTTTTTTTCTCCATTTACCGTGATGTTGTTTATTGGTCCAGTGTGATGATGTACACTGGGCCTTATATAAATTCTAACCAAACCTCCTCAACACATATCAGTTTCTAAATTAATTAAGGTGATTAGTCCTCCACCTCATATATCTAACAAAAGAAAAGCTGAGCGATAGCAATAAAGGCATTCAGACTGTAAAAAGTCTTATCAAAAGCAACAACTGAAGATGGTAGACAGTGGAACAATTTTTTTAGCTAGAAACATGTCGATGTAAAATATCTTTAAAGAAAATATTTAAAATGTATTTAGATGTATTAAAATAATTGAGAAAGCATGCCATGATACATATTTACCAAAAACCTGCAATATTATGTGAATCAACAAGAAGGAAAAATAACAAGAAAAGAAACTGGAATAACTATGGAGAGGCAATTACATATAAACATATACTTAAATTAGAAATACACTTTTTCAACAACATAATCAATGACTGTACACATGGACCTTGCCAGATGGACAACACAGGAATAAAATTGACTATATCTATGGAAAGAGAAAATGGTTAAGAAGCTGAATATCATCAGTCAAGACAAAGTCTGGTCTAGAATACAGAAAAGACCTTCAATAGCACATATGCAAATTCACATGAAGGTTTCTGTGGGCAAAAAATTGAATGGCACAGGAAGCATCGAAGACGATAAAAGAAATACATATATTCACTGTGCTGAAATTAATTAGCTGACATACCACTTTAGGAGGTAGTATATAATCAAGAACTTCCAGTACTGAAGGAAGAAGGTCAAGCCACACTGAAGGCACTGGTGAAAAACAAACTCCAGGAACTGACAGAATATTAATTAAGATAGTTCAGAAAATGGATACAATGTCAGAGGTGTCTACTACTTTATTTCAAGAAATTCAGCTCAGAAGACATCTACTTCGTCAACCGACTAAAAGAGATCAATATTCATGCCCATTCCAAAGAAAGGCAATCAAATGGAATGTGAAAATTATTGAACAATATCCTTAATATTGCAGGTTAGCAAAATTTGCTGAAGATAATTAAAAAATGGCTGCTGTCGTACATCAGTAGTTAAAGCTGGATTCAGAAGAGGATGTGGAACAAGCGCTATATCATTGCTGATGTCAGATGGATCTTGGATGAAAGCAGAGAATACCAGAAAGACGGTTACTTGTGTTTAATTAACTACACAAAGGTATTTGACTGTGTGGATCATAACAAATTATGGATAACATTATGAAGAATGGGAATTTCAGAACACTAGATTATGCTCGTGAAGAACCTGTGCATAAATCAAGAAGCAGTTGTTTAAACAGAACAAGGAGACACTGCATGACTTAAAATTGGAAAAAGTGTACAGCAGGGTTTAACTTTTCACCTCATTCAATCTGTATGCTAAGCAAATAATCTGAGAAGCTGGACTATATGAAGAAGAACAGGATGTTAAGATTGGAGGAAGATTCATGAACAACCTGCATTATGTAGATGACACAGCCTTGCTGGTCAAAAATGATGCAGACTTGAAGCACTTACTGATTAATGTCAAAGACTGCAGTCTTCAGTATGATTATGACTGAATGTGAAGAAAACAAAATCCTCACAACTAAACTGATAATGTCATGACAAACAGAAACAAGCTGAAATTGTCAATAATTTCATTCTACTTGGATCAAAAATCAATATCCATGGAAGCAGCAGTGAAGAAATCAAACAACATATTCCACTGAGTGACTCTGTTGCAAAAGACCTCTCTAAAGTTTTAAAAAGAAAGATGTCATCTTCATGACTTAAGGCGTGTCTGACCCAAGCTGTGGTCTCTTCAATTGTCTCATATGCACAAGACAGGTTAACAATAAAAAAGGAAAACAGGAGAAGAATTGATGCATTTGAATAATGACATCAGTCACTAGAAAATGACATCATGACCCTCAATGAAACGGACTGACACAATAACAACAACAAGGGACTAAAACATACCAACAATCATGTAGATGGCACAGGACTGGGTAAAATTTCATTCTGTTATAAATAAGGTTGCCATGCGTGAGGGCTGCAACTAATAACAATAATAACAGCTGGAGACTTCAATGCACCACTTTGAATAATGGACAGATCACCTAGAAAGATCAGTACAAATTCACTAGATCTAACATATATATATATATATATACATATATATATATATGTGTGTGCTTGTGCATTGTTAGGTGCCGTCGAGTTGGTTCTGACTCTTAGCAACCCTATGTACAACAGAACGAAATACTGCCTGGTCTTGCACCATCCTTGCAATCGTTGCTGTGCTTGAGCCCACTGTTGCAGCCACTGTGTCAACTGATCTCACTGAAGGTCTTCCTCTTTTTTGCTGACGGTCTACTTTACCAAGTACGATGTCCTTCTCCAGGGACTGGCCCCTGCTGATAACATGTCCAAAGTATGCTTCTAATGAGCATTCTGAATGTACTTCTTCCAAGATGGATTTGTTCCTTCTTTTGTCAGTCCATTGTATATTCAATATTCTTCGCCAATACCATAATTCAAAGGCATAAATTCTTCTTTGGTCTTCCTTATTCATTGCCCAGCTTTCACATGGATATGAGGCAATTGAAAACACCATGGCTTAGGTCAGGCACACCTTAGTCTTTAAAGTGACATCTTTGTTTTTTAACACTCTAAAGAGGTCTTTTGCAGCAGATTTGCCCAATGCAATGCATCGTTTGATTTCTTGACTGATGCTTCCATGGACGTTGATTGTGGATCCAAGTAAAATGAAATCCTTGACAACTTCGATCTTTTCTCCATTTATCATAAAGTTGCTTATTGGTCTAGTTGTGAGGATTTTTGTTTTCTTTATGTAGATGTGTAATCCATACTGAAGGCTGTACTCTTTGATCTCTATCAGTAAATGTTTCAAGACCTCTTCACTTTCAGCCAGCAAGGTCGTGTTATCTGCATATTACAGGTTATTAATGAGTCTTCCTCCAATTCTGATGCCTCATTCTTCTACATATAGTCCAACTTCTTGGATTATTTGCTCAGCATACAAACTGAATAAGTATGAACCCTGATACACACCATTCTTGACTTTAAACCACGCAGTATCCCCTTGTTCTGTTCGAACGACTGCCTCTTGGTCTTAGTACAGGTTCCTTTTGAGCACAATTAAGTATTCTGGAATTTCCATTCTTCACAATGTTATCCATAATTTGTTATGATCCACACAGTTGAATGCCTTTGCATAGTCAATAAAACACAAGTAAACATCTTTCTGGTATTCTCTGCTTTCAGCCATTATCGATTTGACGTCAGCAATGAAATCCCTTGTTTCATATCCTCTTCT